TCCTCTGGTACTCATGAAACTTGGTAAAAATGAATAGTCTAATTACATTTAAAAATCTGGAGAAGGCGTGATCCCTGGAAGCATTTATCACAACAAAATAATATGAAAATTGCAGACTAGGTTTGATTTAGTCTGTATATGAGGGATAATAAAAGACGTGCAGCATTCCTTAGCATCAGCTTGAGCTGTACTCAATTTTCAGCACTTAAAAGTGCTGGAATCATTGATCCAGAAGGACCAGAAAACAACACCGAAGTTAAGTACGGAAGAATATTTTACAGCTGCCACACAGCACTTAACACCTGCTGTTTTGAGGTATAAAAATTTGGAGAAAGTATATAATCTAGTACTAACTAGGCGGCAGGGACAAGAGCAACAACTAACAAACACAGAATATAGGAAATCGCGTAAATAGTTAGTCATTCATTAGTCAGTGACCAATGTACACTTATTTTTTACTGTTGTGTTGTGTCAGCTGTAGATACAACATCAGCAACAGTTGCAGCATCAGCAGCATAAACAACAAAATACAGTAAAAACACGACAGTGACTTGAATTGATGCAAACTATGTTACAATTTGGGGCCAATCTTTTATAGATTGGGTTGTCAATATTCTATATTAAATAATGACCGGGATCAATATTCAATGAGGTCAGTTTACAAAGCAACACCGGCAATCCTAAGATGACTAGTTCGACTCGTTTGATCAAAAGTAATTGTACTAATATGACAAGTGTAAACAACACTGCACCATTACTCTTCTAGATGCGAAATCAATTAACCAGAATATAACCAAGCCAGGCTAAACACCCTGTAATATTGGTTGACTAACCTTTTTAATGTCTGTCTATTAGTGATAAGAAGTTTAAAAATGGAAGATTGACAAGTCAATTCACAAATTAAGCAGGTTATAGATTAAGCTTTCAAATCTGTACAATCTTATCAGTGTCAGCACCGTCGAATGCTAAAGTTTAAACCATTTTTTTTTTCTTGCAGCCCAACACATTACCTTTTCTATGTCGAGAAACAAAGTGTGAACTCTCTCCCTTTTTTAATACATATAAAACGTTTTTGAAACTATCATGGTCAGAAATAAAGCAATTCTATTACATGTATATAAAACTGTCAACTAAACATTTTACTTGGAATTTAATATGACCTTTTTACAATTTTACAGGGAATTTGAAAGCCTGATTAGTATGCAATATTATTGTTGTATATATACCAATTTAAGACTAATTTAAGCCCCCTTTTAAATAAACATGTGCGGTTTTAACACTGAGGATCGAGGACAGGTAATATAAGGGAACAATCCCAAGATTATTTATTTTATCATGAAGAAAATTTGTGTGCGTCGTTTTCGTGACTCAAAACCCTATTTTTAAGTAACGTACTACACCAACATTGTCAACGATAGTTTTTATTTGTTTGGTCCGTGAGACCAAACAAATAATGGTAGCGAAATTTCAGACTCTGATGCTGTTAATTGCAAATGCCGAAAGTAGTCCGCTTTTTTGAAGCGGTTACTTCCCTTTATATTTACACTAATGCCGAAAAATTCAGGGGAGATCACTGCGTAAAGATGGTCAAATGACAGGCGCATTAATTTTCCAGCTAAATAGTTTCCGAATGGTCGAAGATTTCTAATATTGTTTTATTCTTTATAGACATACATGTTTATAGTAAGCTCCATGATTAATTACATCTGTAGCGTCGAAATAATAAGGGTTACAAACCCTAATATAGAATGATATGGTTTTCTTCAGGTCGTTAACATATAACATCACCTTGGTCGAGGGGTTTGCGCGCTCGCTTAGGAAGCGAGAGGTCTGGAATTCAAACCCAGTTAAGGCTACTCATTTTTTTTTCAAATTGTTTAAGTCAAATAAACATTGTATTGAATATCAGTGTTGCAATTAGTCTTATAGCCAGTTTACTACAATTAAAACGCTGGAAAGCATTGGTGGCACTATACAAAAACAAATTGGTTTCTAATCTCACAACCTTCACCTTTTTGACATTCAGCGCCGTCTGTGCTTTGATTAGTTGTATTGCGTGGTATTGTCTGTGTTTTTAATTATATTGTTTCTACGGGTCTACTTAAGCACGGTATATTCTGTGAAATGTGCCATCAATAGCCCTTACCCCCATAGCTTTTTGTTCTTTAAGTACATCATCTCAGACCACTGGGACTCAAGGCAATTTTATATATCTTTTTAGTTAGTTTAAAAAAGACATTGGAGTAAAGCCCACCGTCGATACACTTATATGAAATGTTGATAATATCATAAATATCGGATAATGTCGTAGCCTCAAAAAGAGTAAAAAAAAAACACGGTTTCTGAACGATAGTGTACTGGGCCTGTAGGGTGTTATATTCAATCTTATAAATGCTTAGAAGTGGAATCTATGTTTAGAAAGCATATGGAGTACATTTTTGCCACTCTTAAGTTTCGTCACTACCGAATAATCTGTAGTTGAGTGTAAGCATGTGTCCTGATGGAGGTCTTACCCACAGTAAAATTTGAATAATCAAGGCAAGTAGTGAGTCAAGAAGTACTGGTAATAGCGTTCATATAAATAATTTTGAATCACTGCACTCTCGATGATAAGTCTATATATAACTGAAAGTAAGAAATGAATTTAAAATATTATTTTTAGTATCATTTTGTATAATGAAATATACTTCATATTCATATTATTTCGCACTTAGTTTGATTGTATTTACTTGTACATTATTTCTACACAGTTTCATCTACGCAAAAAATGGCAGGTTTGCGTCCCAATGAGCATGGTTATCTTGTTACCTTTAATCTTAAAAGTCACTTGCATGCATGCAAAAAGTATAGAAGATAGCGGAATAAATGCTGGTATGTAAAATCTTGTTTCGTTAAAACTAAATCAATATCATTTAAGTATTCAACAACTTTGATTATAAAATACATTTAGTAACAAAACTTTCCACAGCTATTCGTTGATTTATGAATACAAAATCCATATATTTGTATATGCGGTACGAGAAAAAGTTTAAAGGCGGGCAAATCAACTGTTTGCTTGCAGGTTTGCTACTTAAAGTAGTTTATTAATAATTATCATTAATGTTCTGTTTTCAATTAGTTGTTCAATGATTTTAATAATTGTCGAAGAAAGATAAAATTAAAATAAAATACAAATTCAAGAAATTTTCATTTTTAGGTGGGTCTTTATTACAGAAAAGTGAAAGCAGATAATAATAAAGAAAGAAAAAACTTTATTGATGCTGCGTGCCTATTTGTCTCACCATATCAACTGGCCGGGCATCCTTGAAAGCGTTTGAAAAATGTATTGATCAGTTGCCAGATGATGCTAGAGAATTGCCGGGGAGAAACAGGTTAAAACTAGAATGCGTAGCAAACTTACTCCTGTCGAAATAAATCAACCAGACATAAGGTAAGTATAATTAAGAAAAACGTTTAAAATTACATTTACACCAGTTAATAAGTATCTACATCAATAGTCAGTTATCACAAATATACACCAAAAAGTAAATATATTAAGACATCATGCACCAAACTAGCATTTAAACCCGGAGTTAAACGCAAAAAAATACCCCAAATGTCTATCTTACTGACGCATTATACTGTAGCATGCTTATTTTGATGTTTATCATTCTTTTTCAATTTCACCGCCTCGATAACGCATTTGGTACAACATATTCGGCGAGTGCGGGCGGTTACAAGTTCGAGCCACGTCATACCGAAGAAGGGCAAAATTTACTGACAGCTCATTTGCATTGCAGGTAATTTCAGGAAAATAACCAGTTCAAATCCTACAATATATGATCAACCAAGATATGACTGAAAATTGTTAAAAGTCGCGTTAAAAACCCAATTAATTCAATTTCACTATTAAATATTTTTAAATTATTTGAGAGAAGCGCTCCAGGCCGTACAACGTCTTGCAGGACGTCTTTTGAAAGTTGACGATGTTGGGTACCTTTCCAGTGACAGGACCAGGCGACTTAACCAAGGGAAAGCTGTAGCTGCTGTTGTTTCGATTACATGCGTATCGCGATGCTCCTACCAGGACACATGCATTAATTAATGACCGTCTTTTATAGAGAACAGCATTCTAACAAAATTTTAAGTATTTTTACAACATGCTTAAGATATTTCAGGCTAAGTTCATGTTGTCTATCAATGGGAAAATATTCAAGACAGTGTGCCTTTATCAACAATATGATGATTGCTCCTTTATTGAAATTATTGATACTGAATGATGCTTGAATACAATATCCGGAGCATTGTCTTTACAAAACTAAAAAAAAAGAGTTTCACTAGATGAGTTTATATCATTTTATTTCATATGGTATTATATTGGCTTTTTCCATCAAATGTTCGTTAGGTGTAAATTTTCCCTAATCTTCGCAATCCTTCAATCAATTAAATTATTAGTAATCAATGATGTAGAGAGCATTTTCGAATCTATCTGTAAGTATCAGTGTGTCGCTGTTCTTATTATATGTACAAGCACTTTTATACATAGGATATGCCTTAAGCATGAGTAATATCCCAGTGCAAATTCTATCAGCATAAATTTAGTTTACATATATACATACATGCGTTCATGCATGTCTAGTTTTAAACTTAAGAACAGGTTAGACATAACTACCCCGATTTAATTTGTATAAGGTAACATATCTAACAAATATAACAAAGCATGTATTCGTAACGTTATTTCTATTTGATATAAAGCACAAAGAATACAAAATGCGTCTGCTAAACGTATACTCGACTCAGTTTTTACGCAAGAAAATTATATAGAAAAATACACCTGATAATTTTTCCACAAAAATTATCAATCAGCATGTGTGTATTGTCATTGTCATAATAATTTCAACGAAGGATTAAAATGGACAGCATTTTGAGTTATTCTATGATAGTTTGAATTTTTGTAGTTTAAAATTTCCAAAATGACTATTTGTAACAACAAGAAATGATTTATCACGTGAGACACATACTCTAGACGAAAATTTCATATCTATCTTGTGTGATGACAAAATCTGACCTGTTTGTGATATCTGTACAATAGAGTCTGTTCCATGACTGCAAACAAAGAGAGCATCGAAAGGACCAACTGCTACACCACGTGGTTCCTTTACCTGATCATCCTTCACTACGACTCGCGTGTCTGTCTTGATATCATATATGTAGACAACAAGTTTGCATCTGTCTGTTAGCACCAGTGTGTCACTGTTCTTACTATATGTACAAACACTGTTATATCAATGATATACCTTATTAGGAAAGTTAACATTGAAATCATTCTCATTTCCTGTCAATGACACAAGGCGTGCAGGTCTTTTATCATCGAAAGTCCCAACGACAAATTGATTATCATCTTTTATACTTATTGAGTCATATTTCGTTTTCATTTTACAAGTTCTGCCCGATGTCATTTCACTACATTCATTTACATGTAGAAATTCTATTATATATTCATCACCACTTGTTATAACTATATATTCACAAGAGACAACCGCTACAGATTGTGGCTGGTAGGATCACTTTCTTAAGCCTCTCATTATATAGTAATAATTTCTTGTTAAAATTGTCAACCGCGACGAGTCTACCATCGGGTAGAAAGTCTATTCCTGAAAGGAACGGTTCATCTTTGTCATCTATAGTCTTCCTCAAATCAATAAAAGAAACAGGCGTTAATAGCACCGGACTATTAACAAAATGATGTTTAAATGCCAGTTGTCCCGGAACATATTCAGTTACTTGAAATGGCGGCAACAATAATGTTTTGTCAAAATGAAAAGAAACGCTGACCGTCTCTAAATTTTTAAATATCTCATTCAAGTGTCTGGATAGAATATAGACCTCATTTTCCATTTTATTGTCTACAATGAATTGTTGCGATGAGCTACCATTTCTATAAACACTATCAATTGTTTCCAGACGTGTTATAATATCCGTTAAATAATTTTCTATTTGCGACTGATTTATTGTAAGTTGTGTTAGTGTTTCCTTATGAAAAGTAGTCGTTCTTTTAACGATGGAAACTTTCAAATTGTCAAACATTCCTATTACTTCATCTCGCACTTGATTAATTGTTTCAGGAATTTCATTCACGTCTGGATTTAATTTCTCATTTGAAGTCTTGATTTTCGTTATAATGCCTTCAGCCAATTTTTTAGTAGCTAGCAATTTTTCCTTTACCATTGAAGTTTGTGATATAATTTTGTTAGCAAGCTTCTGAATTTCTACAACGTTGTGACATTTACAATGATCAACTATAGCACAAGTACTACAACAGAGTTGATTCTCATCTTCACAGGAGAATTTTATAATATTTTTGTGTTGATTACATCGGTCTAATCCTTTCATATCAAACGAGTCTTGTTTCATTACAGCTTCATTCGCGTTAACTAACTTGTGAGTTTTGAGGATAGCAAGTACGTTGTGTACATTTGAACATTCCGTACACTGGACTTCGTTGCAAGTTGAACAAAACTTATCAGCTACAGTTTGTTTATTCTTATTCAAACATGACTGACACCAAATGTCCTTGACACGTCCAGAAACTTCATTGTCTTCTTGTAATGTACATCTACTTTCCGCCATTTTTATCGACCTTTCTGTTCCTGTTTTAGAATTTACATTTATTTGTAATCCTCAAGTTCATCATTCACTCAACCGATAAATGGTTTAAACATTTCAATGGATCAAAATAAGCATTAAAACTGATTTTAAAATGTAAGTAATTTTGTCCTGGTATCTATCCATATGTTTTCTGTCGTATGGCTACAATCAATATTCGGAACACGGAAGTTAAATTTCCACAATCAATTTTGTGCATAACAGTGACATTATGCCCATCTACGGGTATATATTGAGAAAATAGGTGACATTCAAAATATGTTTACATTTTGCCATAATTCCCTTCAATTTTTACTTTACATAGCTTGAACGATAAATAACTCACATGGCCAAAGAAAAATTTCTATAAATATCTTTAAGAATTTACCTGTGATGTTCAGTTTATAAAAAGAGTGGGGCAGTCTTTTTACATTTTAGGCTGATTATATTTTATTCTAAACATTTTCCAGCATCAACTGTTGGCCAATTACCATTATAACAGTCACTCTTTTGAAATATATAGTCAATTCAACTTTACTTGACAGTAAAAAAATGAACATAATGTCACTTTAATTACGATATACATTAATGATAATGATAAAATATGAAACATGTTCGTAACATATTAAGTATTATGATTGTTTACTTCTTTTTTTTACAATGATAAATTTGCAAGTTATATCAATAATATAAACCCATTGTAAATTTTAAACACCGTCTCCTTCTCAATCACTCGGTAGATATTAGTGAAATTGTACAACAATGGTCATTAGGTAGTCCTTGTTTTCGTGTTGTAAGATATTACAATCAATAAATTGGTTTAGAGGTAACATAAATCGAGTGATCCGATGGGGCTTGCAGGCAGGTTTATATAAGGGCCAGCAACAGTAACTCGTATGTTATGTGTACAAGTACATGACAGAGTTGTCTCCTATATCATAACACATACCCCCAACTGTATATTTTGTGGTGAAACTGGTATCAAGCCTTTAACATGATTTGATAAGTGCTCTGAATTTTTCTTTTGAAATTAATTGTCTCAGTCAACTACAAGCACATGGTTTAATAACTCTAATTCCAAAACCAAATAAAGATTTATCAATATTGTCAAACTGGCGACCAATAAGTTTGCTGAATGTAGATTATAAAATACTTACAAAGGTTATCGCTAATAGAATTAAACGGGTATTAAATACACTCATTGATGATAATCAAACAGGTTTTATCAAAGGGCGATACATAGGTGAAATATAAGATTGCTTTATGATGTGATAGAGTATGCAGAAAAGAATGATAAAACCGGGACTTTTATTTTGGCTGATTTTGAAAAAGCATTCGAAAGCATAAGCTACAAATACGTATTTAAAACATAAGATCTTTTTAACTTTGGACCAACTTTAAAAGCATGGATTGAACTTATTTACAAAAGACCCACGAGTTGCATACTTTACTTTTTTGTCTGAGTCATTCCCAATTAAAAAGAGGAGTACCACAAGGATGTCTATTATCATCTTATATATTTATCCTAGCAATTGAACTACTGTCAATAGCTATAAGACAAAATAGGATTATTAAAGGTTTTAGAATTTTTGATGTAGAAGTTAGAAAAGCAGGTATGCAGACGATGCACACATAATACTAAATGGTAAATCAAACAGCTTTGAAGAAACTTTGAACATATTTGAACAGTTTTCCTTTATTTCTGGTCTTAAACTTAATTACAAAAAATGTACAGTTCTCAGAATAGGTTCACTTAGAAATTAACATGATTTGATCTATTGTAGAAAAAAATACACAAATATAATTTGGACCTCCGAATGTGCAAAAACATTAGGCATAAATTTCCATTAAAAATGTTACTTTTTTCTCGTTTAGGGCACACGCATTCTTTTACTTGGGGACCATACGCCGCTTTTCATGGAATGGCACTGCTGTGTCACATTGAAGGTTCCATGATGATCGCCGTATGAACACATCTGCGGATGTCTCTAAATTCAAATTTTCACCATTTTTCTTGTTTAAATGTTGAATTCTGCTTAAGCCGATGCTAGGGGGCGTGGACGGTAACTTGCATTTTCCAATACCGTCCATGAACAGGCTCAATCAAACCGAGCCTGCAACATTTTCAATTTTGTCGTGTTAGGCTTTCTTTGGCTTTCTGTATTTCTCTATTTTACTGTCACATCCATGTTATTTGTGTCGTGTGGCGGCTGTAAAAAGTCTCCCCGTACATTTAATCAATGATGATATATTTTCGATCCTTGAAGATCGTTCAGCACGACATTATTGTTGTGTATACATGTTATGTGGTACTTTTAGTTTCTTCTATTTGGCCTTTTTTCAACTTGGGTGGTTCCAGTATTCCTATTTGAATACTGTATAATCACCCTTAGGATATGTTGCCTGCTTTTTAAATTTGTCTTTTTGACGTCTTGTCTGTGATACGCAGGCTTCATAACCTCAAATCCCCTTTCAAATCTATTTTATTTAGTTCCGCCCATTGTTTTCTCGTTTAGGACACACGCATTCTTTTACTTGGGGACCATTCGCCGCTTTTCATGGAATGGCACTACTGTGTCACATTGAAGGTTCCATGATGATCGCCGTATGAACACATCTGCGGATGTCTCTAAATTCAAAATTTCACCATTTTTCTTGTAATTGTTGAATTCTGCTTAAGCCGGTGCTAGGGGGCTTGGACGGTAACTTGCACTTTCCAATACCGTCCATGAACAGGCTCAAACAAACCGAGCCTGCAACATTTTCAATTTTGTCGTGTTGGGCTTTCTTTTGGGATTCTGTATTTCTCTATTTTAATAACCAAACTAAATTACGAGAATTAATTAAACCAATTTAAAGCAGACATTAATAGATGGAGGGCAAGACGTTTAACAACTATTGGCAATATATCAATTTTAAAGTCCTTAATTATTTCAAAACTAACCTTAATAATATCTGTTCTTCCGAGTCCACCAGAAGAAATTATGAAAACAATTACACAAAACTGTTTTGAATTTATATGGCACTCAAAAAGAGACAAAGTTAAAAGGGATGTGATAATACAAGACTTTAAATATGATAGACTTGCCAATTTTTATGAACTCGATTAAATCAAGCTGGATCAAAAGAATATTTGATGAAAATAACCATGGATTATGGAAAGAGATAATAAAGAAAAATTTGTGGAATAGGTGGAATCGACTTATTTAAAAGTAATTTAAACACAAATGATATACAGAAATTTAAAATCGAAAACAAATTATTAAAAGAATTACTACTGTCATGGAGTAAAATAGATTTTAATAAAATCCACAAAATCTATTAAAAATAATGGATCTTTAATTCTTTTTCCAAAATGGAAATGTAGAAATACAAATAAAATAAAGGATATTTTTAACACTGAAACAAAACAATTTAAAACCTTTGACCAGCTGAAACTTATTTATAAAATTCCGGATACAGAAATATTTAACTTTTATAAACTAATTTCATCAATACCCAAAGAATGGAAACGTAAACTACAACAAATTAATCAAACTTCAACGCCTAAAGAAATAAGCACTTTTGAAATCATAGAAAATACAAACACGCCCAATATCAGTAAAGAGTTAACACAGATTCAAAAACAAATAAGACTTTGTAAAAAAGAAATCGCAAATAAAATGGGAAGAACGATTTCCGCAAAAAGAATTTCAATGGCAAAATATTTACGGAAACGTTTTTGTTTATTGCAAAGATAATATTTTACAATACTTTCAATATAATTTTTGGCCGAGTTGCACAGGTGCAACGTCGGGCGGGAAAAAACTTTCGTAACAGTTTTCTCAGCAGCTACTTATCACAGCCTCTTGATATTTGGCATACAGCATTAACATGTAGTCCCATAATGTTGGATTCAATTTTAGGTCTGTCGCTCATCTACTTCCTGTTTGCCGACTTAGTTAAATTTTCAACATTAATGGTCAATAGTGGGAAATTTTCGTAACAGTTTTCTCAGCAACTACTTATGACAGCCTCTTGATATTTGGCATACAGCATTAACATGTAGTCACATAACGTGGGATTCGATTTTAGGTCTGTCGCTCATCCACTTCCTGTTTGCCGACTTAGTTAAATTTTCAACATTAATGGTCGATAGTAGGATATTTTCGTAACTGTTTTCTCAGCAACTACTTATCACAGCCTTTTGATATTTGGTATACAGCATTAACACATAATCCCATATTGTGGGATTTGATTTCAGGTCTGTCGCTCATCCACTTCCTGTTTCCCGACTTAGTTAAATTTTCAACATTAATGGTCAATATTAGGCAATTTTCTCAACAGTTTTCTCAGCAACTACTTATCACAGCCTTTTGATATTTGGTATACAGCATTAACACCTTGTCCCATATTGTGGGGTCTGATTTCAGGTCTGTTGCTCATCCACTTCCTGTTTCCCGACTTAGTTAAATTTTCAACATTAATGGTCAATATTAGGCAATTTTTGCAACAGTTATCTCAGCAACTACATATCACAGCCTCTAGATATTTGGCATACAGCATTAACATGTAGTCCAATAACGTGGGATTCGATTTCAGGTTTATCGCTCATCCACTTCCTGTTTGCCGACTTAGTTAAATTTTCAACATTAATGGTCAAATTAGTAGCAAAATTTCGTAACAGTTTTCTCAGCAACTACTTACCACAGCCTCTTGATATTTTGGGACTGCCAAACGGTAGAAATATTCTGGAATAATTTATTCAAATGGCTTAATAAAATAGCAATAAAAGTTACGTATAACATTTTTACATCTTTCTTTCATGCTAAAGATAAGAAAACATCGTATACTTTTCCCTTTTCAAAATATTACATTTATACAGAAATTAAAGAAACAAAACTCCAGATATAATTATCTTCAAAAGAAATATTTTAAACAGATTAAAAATTGAAAGATTTGTTGCCTTACAAAATGATACATTAGAAGAATTTGAAAATTGCTGG